ATACCTCCTCCTCCTCCATCATCTTCATCCTCATCATCGTCGTCGCGGTCGTCGTCGAAGTCATCATCATCATCATCATCATCATCATCATCATCATCATCATCATCATCATCATCATCAGCATCATCATCATCATCATCATCATCAGCATCAGCATCAGCATCATCATCATCATCATCATCATCATCATCAACATCATCATCATCATCAGCAGCAGCAGCATCAGCATCAGCAGCATCATCATCAGCATCAGCATCATCATCATCAGCATCTTCAGTAGCATCAGCATCATCCGCATCATCATCATCGTCAATATTAACATCAACAGCAGCATCATCGTCATGATCATCAGAATCATCATCATAATCATCACCAGCGTCATCAGCATCAGCGTCAGCATCAGCATCCGCATCATGACCAGCATCACCATCATCATCCCGACATCCGCATAAGCATCGTCAGTATCATTCGGATCATCGTCATCATCAGCAGCATCAGCATCATCAGCATCATCATCATCAGCATCAGCATAATCAATATCAGCATCATCAGAATCAGCATCATCATCAACATCATCATACTCAGCATCAGCATCAGCAGCAGCATCATCATCATCATCAGCAGCATCGTCAGCATCATCATCATCAGCATCTTCATTAGCATCAGCATCATCCGCATCATCATCATCATCAATATTATCCTCAGCAGCAGCAGCATCGTCATGATCATCAGAATCATCATCAGCGTCAGCATCAGCATCCGCATCATCATCATCATCATCATCAGCAGCAGCATCATCATCATCATCATCATCATCATCATCATCATCAGCATCATCATCCCGACATCCGCATAAGCATCGTCAGTATCATTCGGATCATCGTCATCATCAGCAGCATCAGCATCATCAGCATCATCGTCATAATCATCAGCATCAGCATCAGCATCAGCATCTTCATCATCATATGTCTCCTGGTATTGCTCCTCTCCATGTGATTCCTCCTCTTCATCTCCATCCTCCTCTTCTCAACTGCAGTATCCGCTTCGTCCACTCGCCTCAAAAATACATATGGCACTGAGAATGGTCTTGAGGTTTCGAGTTTCGCGTTCAAACCAGCTGCAAGGGTCTGCCATGGACCACATAAGCTAGACCCTCAGGTACCTGTAAGGCTCCAACATAGGTGTGTTTACTGGGAATGCTCGGACGGAGCCTCTCTGATTGTGTCCTCGCCGCAGGGCCTGCAGTGGCCGTAGCCAGACGAAGAACGTCGCAAAAGAATGCGAAAGGGCCTCCTCAAGTGCGAAAGCTGCTTGGCCTGGACGGCTGTCTGTTCAGGGAGCCAAGCGATGAGCCCAAGTGTGCGCGCCAAGCCAGACCACCAGTCTCGATGATGGGGGGAGGTGGTTTGACCTCAGAGCAGATCCGTTACTTCCGATTGCGAGAAGACCGTCATGTGGTGCTGCCCCCAAAAGATGATTATCTTTCTCGTATTATTCCTCATGCCCCTCTTCGCTTCGAATCCGCCTCCTCCCTCCTCCTTTTCGTCGTCCTCCTCTTCCTCCTCATCCTCCTCCTCCTCCGCCTCCTCCTCCCCCTCCTCTCAGGCGCGCATAAAGAGGGAGGAGTGCTACTCCAAGTCAGGCATGCCAATGTACACATCATTTGCGATCCACGCAAACGATCGACTTCCTGTACGACCACTTCTCGGGTGATAAGGAGGTTTGGGGGTGGGGGGGAAAGAACCAACTGCTGGCAAATGCGATGGGTATGATGATGCCGAGGCTGGTGACGCGCCCTCGAATTAGCGACGACGCGTGATGACGACGTTGCGCCGCGATGTACTGTCACTATCGCCCCAGTTTTCTGTATCACAACCACTGTCACAAGGTAACTTCTCCGTCGATCTCGCATTTGACCTCACCATCGACCTCAGTATCGACACCAGAGCGGGCCACCTTTTGGCCGCCCGCCCGCCCGCCGACGACGGAGCACCGACGGGACACCGGCGGGACACCACAGAGCACCACGGCAGGACACCCTGGGGCCACCGCGCGCCGGCCGGGGGCGGAGGGGGCGGTCCACGGCATCCGAATCGCCCTATAGCGACGGCGGGGTCATGCCTCCCGCGCGCCTACGCGGCTGCGCCTCGCCCGCACGCACGGCACGAGCACGGAACCGAAAAATCGACTTCCAGGGGGGGGGGGCTGTCCGCTCCGCTGCGAACTCGCCCTCCAACCTCCAGCGATCGAGTTCACGAATCGATGTGCCCACTTCTCCGTTCTACCTCTCTCGCTCTCTCTCTCTCTCTCTCTTTCTCGCTCTCTCTATCTCGTTCTTTCTCGTGAGCACGCGGCCTTGAGCAATACCTTGTTCCCGTCGATGGAAACGCTCTGCTGCAGGACTGGCGGGATCCTCAAGGCTTGAGGGATGGGGAGGGGCTGGAGGGGAGTTGGAGGTCGGGGGAGGCAAAGGGGAAAAGGGAAAGGAGGAGGGCGGGGGAAGCTCACTCCTGCCTCTGCTTCTTCCGCTTCCTCCTCGCTCCTGCTCACCACTCCCCACCCTACTCGTCCCCCCTTCTCCTCCCCTCCGCCCTCTGCCCTCCGCCATCCCCCCTTCCCGTGCAGTTGCTCCCCCTACGGGGCCCACCCGGGGGAGGGGGGCGCGAGGGCAGGGAGGACCGAGAGCGAGAGAGAGGGGCAGGACGGAGAGGACGCGGAGGGAAGGGAGGGGACGGCGGAGGTGGGCGGCGAAGGGGGTTCGGCACCGCGAAGGAAGGGAGAAGGAGAGAAAAGGGAGGGAGCATTACAGCGGAGGCCAGTCCACAAGAAACCTCCCACAAGAAACCCAACCCTGAGACCCCAAGGCGTCCATGGATGTTTGGTGTGGGAACGTCACGCTTTCCGTCGGAAAACCATCGACACCCAAGAAACCCAGGGCACCCTGGAGGCAAGCTGGGTGTTTCTTGTCACGGGTCTCCACTGCACGGGAGCATTACGGGTGAATGACAACGGGAGTCACCATGGATGAAGCAAGACGGATTGCAAACCTGACTATGGCCTCGATCGAACTCAAAACTGTATGTGTCGGAGAGACTCGGCGTCTCTTATGCGACGAGGCGGCCTCGATGGGTCGGGGTACTCGCACTTCCTTAGATTCTTCGGGCCCCGACCTGCCAACATTCAAGAGATGCCCGGGGCCATTCGTGGCGCAACGAGAACAGAAGACCACGAAAGACTTGCCCTAAAACAGCAAGGAGCAGGGCCCGTGGAGCTCTCGACCAGCCAACACCTGGGGCCCGAGGAAGGCCGACAAATTCCATCGCCACCATCCCGGTGCTTACAGCAAACCCGTATCAGAAGGATGCGCGGGAATAGTGCAAGGGCCTTGGAGGCCCGTGTGAGTGTTTTTCGATCGAAGTTAGCCAGCGAACGTCGCGAAAGATGGGCCGAGGAGGCAGGGTGCAAGGGTACCCTTTGGGAAGGTTACCCATCCTTACTATGCAGGTTGATTGTGCACCTGGCCTCGCAAGCCTCTTCAAAACCTTTTTTGGGGTCGGTTGCAACGCGCACAGAAAATGTTTTGCCCCCGCTCTCCTCCAATTGTGCGGGGAATCACGCAAGGCCCTGCTCAACTGTGGGGGTGGGCGAGACAGGATAGGCGGCGCGCCTGGGGGGGTAAAAGAGAAGGGGCGGGCCTTCTCAGAAGGCTCGGAAGTCCCCCAGCTTAGTGGGAAGTTTCTTGAGCCTTCCCCGAAGAAACAAAAAACGTATCAGATGGCGCGAGGGTGTCTGATAAACCCCGCCGCCTTCAGAGAAAGCCTTTCCCTTCTAATTGCCCCCCCCCCCCCTCGCAGCCGAAGGACGGGGGAGGGCCGCTCGGCGGTCCAAGCATCGGCTTTCAGACACTCTACCAAAGCACTCCGCGCCTGGAGACGGCTCAACGCTGCCTCTGCTTCCCGCCTGTCGGTGTCCAGGGGGGGGGGGGGGGGGCCGATCACGAAGTCCTGAATATCTAATTCTGGAGTTCCCAACCGCGTCTGCACAGTCGCTTATGGCTGCTAATATCTGGCGAGGAGCGGTGATTTGTGAAGCCCCCCGATGGCATGGGACCCACTGCGCAAAAACGCTGGACTGTCCTCTAGCAACGAACATCTGAAGGATTCTGGCCCAGGGTTCGGCGACTGGTCCACGGCGCAACGCATCATGATGCCGACCTCTGAACCAATCGTCGCACAAAAGCTTACGTGGCATACTAATACGATATGTCCTCATTGGAGGCGCGCGTCCGCCCCGAACATATAGTACATCAGCGCCGTTCCCGGGTAGCTCTCTGAGAGCTCAGAAGGCTTCAAATTAGAAGCCGGCAGCGCAGTGTAACCTAGGCCAGCCCCTCTCCAAAGCTCCCCCCGGTCAGGCATCCTCGGAGCGCCTTACTTGACCCTCCAGCGTGTTCCGGCCAGCGTTTTCCTACTCGTTCCCAATACGCGTGCCAGAAGCCTTTTCCCGCAGGTCCTTCGCAGCTCCTTCGAAGCCCCTTCGGAGTTCGTTTTTTTCGAAGCTTGCAAGCCCCCAGGCACGTTTCCAACGCCCTGGAAGACATCTCCCACACACGTTCCCCAGGCTTGCAAGCTCCCGAGGCACGCTTTCCAGCGCCCTTGCCAGCGTCTCCAGTATAAGCGTTTTACGCGCTTTGGACTGCTTCCCTATCTGGGCCTTGGACTGCACATGCACTCGGTTTCGACTGCGTCGCTATCTGGGTTTTGGACTGCTCGGCGCGCGCGTCGCCCCTGGGAGGGCGACGCACACGTGGCATTAGCAGGGTAGGGTGGCGTCGATTAGCGGTCCGTGACGAAACGCAGCCAACGCCAGCCGCGGGGCCCCACGAGGGGCCGTCTTGGGCGCGGGCGGGCTCGAGCACTAAGACGAAATCATTGATTTTCTTGCGGCGCCAGAAAAAGATGCCGGCGCTGTCGCCATTTCGGCCCCCAACGCTCGCAGACGGCCCTAGCGGCCCCCAGCACCGCCCCAAGCCAAGGAGGCCCTCAAGAGGGCGCCAAAACGGCCAAGAGGGCCCCAAGACAAGCCAAGAGGCGCCCAAAACGGCCCAGGAGGGCCCCAAGACGGCCCAACAAGAAACCCGAAAAGGGTGGAAACAAACCGAAAATCCGAGCCTTCCGCCCCAAGACGCTCCCAGGAGGCCCCAACCCCTCAACGCCGAGGGTCGACCGAAAACCCCCCTCCCGACCCGCCCTCGGAAGCGGCAGCGCAATCCTCGGCGCCCCGGGGGGGGGGCCTGAAACTCCCCGAGCTGGAAGCGAGTGGGAGCTCGATTCTCGTCGACCGCGGGGGCCCCACCGGAGCCAGAAACACTGGGGCAGCTCCCATGCTCAATTCTGGCAGCCTCGCAGAGCGACCCAGATGCGCCGAAATCACCATGGCCTTGACTCCTAGTTCGATGTCCTCTCCGCAGCGAGCGCACATGCAGGGCAGGCTGCGCCCTGCAGCCACCGCGCGCGCGCGGGGCCACGGCCCCCCCTCGGTGACGACCGCGCCCGGGGCCCAGCCGGACAGCGGAGGCCAGCGCGCAAAAAGCCCTCCACAATAAACCCAACCCTGAGGCCCCAGGGCGCACGTGGATTTTTGGCGTGGGAACGTCACGCCCCCCTAGAAGAAACAACGTCGTAAACATAAACTGCTGGCGCTCCGCGCGGATTTCTTGGCCGGCGCGCCCCGCGCGCCAGGGGGCGGGGGCGCGGCGCGGATCCGAGAAATCCGCGCGGAGCACCAAAATTATAAGTTCATGGCGTTGTTTTCTGCTTCGATTCTCATGGCAAAACCATCCAAACCCTGGAGGCGGGCAGGGTGCTTCTTGGCACGGGTCTCCACTGCAGACGTCGCTCGCGCCCGCCCGGCCGTCGAGCTCGGTAAGCTCGCGGGCCGCGCGCAGGAGGGCAGCGCTGCAGGCCAGGTCGGTCGCCGACTCGGGCTTCGATGCCTCCCTGCAGAGGGGCAGCCGAGTGCTCGCCTCGGCGTCGTCCAAGAGCTCCGCGAAGTCCCCGCGGCGCGGAAGCTATCGCAGGGTGAATCTGCACTATCGGCGGTGGACAAACCTCCCTGTAGTAGACCCCCCTTTCGTAAAAAACGGCCGAAGACCGAAACCGACGGACCTGGACCCGCAAAAATGACGGCCGCGACGCCCTCTCGCGAACCGAAAACGGCCCATTCGCTAATCGACGTAGCAGGGTAGATAGTTGATCAACCTCCGATACTATCTGGGATCTGCCAGGCCTGTCCCTGGTCCGCATTCCAGTTCGCCGGCGACGTCGGCCCCCATCCGGCGTCTGATGACGCAGCAATCGTGGCGGCGATGGGGCCTCTCACGCGAACCTGTTTCCTTTGCCCAGCCAGCCTGAGCCGCGTCACTAACGATCTTGCCCCATGCTGCCGCGACGCACTGGTGGCACCGCGCGCTCCCCCGCCACATGCGCAGCCACGACGACAGATGCTCACGACGAGTGGCAATAGCTGGGCCCTTCCTACCGTGGCCCCAAGGTCAGGCGCCTGCCAAGGCCAGCGCTCAGGGCTGACTCGGCTGCCCGCCGTCTCGTTAGCCCCCGCTCCCTTCCCCCCTCTTTTTCATTGGCGAGGCACCAAAGCTTCGAGGCCGCCCCCGGCCCCGACAAAGAGGCAGGCGCAGCAGCGCCGCCGAAACAGGGACCGAAAAAGACAAGAGTGGGCGGGCGGGACAAGCGGCCCCACCCTTGAGCCTAAAACAGGGGCAGGCAGGCGGCGCGAGCGCAAGAGACACGAGGAGGGGCAGCGGGGAGTCTAACATTGCTTCACCTTCATGATTCCGAGGTAACTCCCGCTCTCTTCTTCATTGGCGAGGCACCAAAGCTCCCAGGCCGCTCCCGGCCCCAATGCCAATGAGGGGAAAGGGGGGAAGCGGCACAGGAGCGGGACACTGCGGCGTCGAATTTTCACAGCCAGAATCGTCGACGACGCCCTGCGCCAGCAGGCCGGCGGCCACCTCGTCGCCCGACACGCACGGCCTGGCTGAAGCCACCGACCGCCTACCCACCTCCGCGAGGATGGTTTCGACGCCCGACGCGGCGAAAACGTCCGCGGCCGCGCCCCGCCAGACGTCGTGGCCAGACCACTCTGCGGGATTAGCGACCCCGACCGCGCAACGGAGCTCGGCTGTCCATGTCGCAGGGGTGCATCCGCCAAGCGAGCGGCCCCCGACCCTGAGGAGCCCGTCCCAGACGGGTAGCCACGCGCGCAAGCAGATGCCCGCATCGACCCCGCAAGTACAAAAAGCGAAAACCGTGCATAATAAGTCGACCCGCTGCATCTGGCGCATCGGCCCGCACGCGAACCGACCGCCCTGCACCTGCACGCGAGCGCGCGTGC